ACGTTCCTGTGGGTACCGAGCCACGCGGGGTGCGCTAGCAACGCCTACGCCGACGCCGCGGCGAAGGCATACATGGGGGCCAGCGAGATTGAGGATGCCACCGCCGTCATCCGTGAAGCAGTGAGAACGCGCCCGTGTCTGTACACGGACCGCCGGAGGACGGCAGACAGAGAGGGGGGGCGGGAGGTACTGGACCGGAGGACATATTATGCCACACGCGGCCACACGAACGAGTGGGTGCGAGGACGGCTCGGCGAGGGCTCACGGCGGGGTCGCACACGGCAGGGGTGACGGGGCCGCTGTGGAGCGACGTGGTCAGGGGGACAACGAGACACAAATGGGACAAGCGCCAGCGGATCAAGGATCAGCACGGCGAGCGCGAGATTGAATTCGCCGATGTGGATGATCATAACGTGGTGACCCTAACCCTTGGTCGTCTGCCTCTTTCTATCTCCCTTCGCAGTCCCTCGCCGATTCTCGCTGCAACCTGATGATTCAGAGTGATGTGTAGATAAAAATTCGGCTCTTTGTAGGTAGGTAGGTAGAAAGGTGAAGAACAGCCAGGCTCGGACTGGACACCAACGCGGTATGGGTGGACGCTGGACAGATGATGACGACACGCACGAGCGACACACAGACACAAAAGCTCTTTGTCCTCGCAAGATATCAGAAAAACAAATAATAAAGCAAGAAAAACAAATAAGCCCTAGGGTACCAGCTCCGGGCGCGAGCGCAAGGTCCGCCCCCGCCTAGTTTCAGACAAAGTTTGTAATGGCCGCTCGCGACGCCGCTTGGGAGGCGCTGCGCGACGAGTTCGCCCTCCCGCCGGCGTCGATGGAGAATCTCCGCCAGCTCTTCCTCACCGAGGCGCGGGCGGGGCTCGCCGGATCGGACAGCTCGCTGCGGATGCTGCCCACCTACCTCACCCGCCGAGTCACCGGCGAGGAGACGGGAGAATACTTCGCGCTCGACCTGGGCGGCACGCACTTCCGGGTGCTACAGCTGAGGCTTGAGGGCGGCGGCCGGATCGGGCCGGTCCGGCAGCGCCAGTTCAAGGTGCCCGACGCGGCAAAGCGCGGCAGCGGCGCAGAGCTCTTTGGCTTTCTCGCCGACTGCGTCTCCGCCTTTGTCGCGGCCGAGTGCGGCGGCGAGGCGGCCGGCGACATCGGCTTCACCTTCTCCTTTCCCGCCGCGCAGACCGCCATCGACGCCGGCACGCTCGTCGCATGGAACAAGGGCTTTGCGGCCGCCGACGCGATCGGAGCAGACGTCGTCGCGCTGCTGCAAGCGCAGCTGGAGGCGCGCGGGCTGAAAATGCGGGTAACCGCGCTCGCCAATGACACCGTCGGCACGATGGCGGCCGCGGCGTACAGCTGTCCCGGCACGGCGATGGGTGTGATCTTCGGCACGGGCGCCATCGGGCTGGCGAGATGAGCCGAGATTGCCCGAGATGAGCCGAGATGAGCCGGGATTAGGCACGGGCACGAACGCGGCGTACGTCGAGCAGGCGGCGAAGATTGGCAAGGGGCGCGGGGTCGAGGACGGCTCTCGCGAGACCGAGATGGCGATCAACACGGAGTGGGGCAACCTCGACACCGCCGCCGTGCGGAACGAGCACGACGCCGCCGTCGACGCGGCCTCGGAGAACCCGGGCCTGCAGCGGTTCGAGAAGATGGTCTCCGGCATGTACTTGGGTGAGCTGCTCCGGACAGCCCTCGCGGCGCCGGCCGTGCGCGCAGGCTTCTCGCGCACTTGCGCCGCCGGATTCGACGCCGCCTTTAGCGAGCGCTTCTCGCTGCACACCTCCACGCTGGCAGCCATCGAGGCGGACGCGACGCCCGACTTGGCCGAGGTGGCCCGAGATCGCCCGAGATCGCCCGAGATCGCCCGAGGTCGCCCGAGGTCGCCCGAGGTCGCCCGAGGTCGCCCGAGATCGCCCGAGGTCGCCCGAGGTCGCCCGAGGTCGCCCGAGGTCGCCCGAGGTCGCCCGAGGTCGCCCGAGGTCGCCCGAGGTCGCCCGAGGTCGCCCGAGGTCGCCCGAGGTCGCCCGAGGTCGCCCGGGATGATCACTGGAGCGCCCGAGTGTGCCCGCCCCCCTCACCCCCTCGACCCCCCCTCCCCCCCTCGCAGGTGGCTCACCTGCTCGCTGAGGCGGGCGTCCAGGGAACCCTCGCGGACCGCTCCCTGCTGCGCGACGCGTGCGCCGCGGTCTCGACGCGTGCGGCGCTCCTCGCCGCCGTCGGCATCGCATCGCTGCTCGAGCTTGCGCAGAGCGAGCCGGGGCCCGCCACAGTCGCCGTCGACGGCACCGTCTTCGAGCGCTACCCCGGCTTCCAGGCGAGGATGGAGGGCGGCCTCGAGATGCTGCTCGGGCCGGAGCGCGCGCGAGACGTGTCCCTCGTCCTGACCAAGGACGGCTCGGGCGTGGGCGCCGCCATCATTGCCGCCGCCGCCGCGCAGGCACGGGGCGAGACACAGTGAGGGGGCTATATAGGGCGAGTGATGCAATGCGCAAGGCGTATCTAATCTATTGAGTTAGTTTTTCGAGACACGAGAGAAAGGGACGACATCGCGGGGGGCGGGGGGGGGAGGGGGGAGGGGGGCGGGGGGGGAGAGCGTGCCGTGGCGCGTGCTGGGCGCAGAGCGCGGAAAATGGGAGTTGGGAGCTTGGGAGAAAGCCCCTGCACATATACGGCTTTACGCTGCACAGAGGCGAGAGGGCTCCACTATAAGTACTCTATATCTGTCTCTCTATTTTGGTCTGGCAGCTAGTCTGGCAGAAGTTCTGCTTCCCATGGCAGCTGCTCACTCGAGGTCGAGCTCGCTCTCAGCACTCAGCCAGAGACACACTCAGGCGAAGCGCTTTCGGCTTTGTGGATTGTGCATGCAACGAATCGTCGATTCAATCATTGTAGACGCACATGGTGCGAGGTCTCAATTCGCGATGGTGACGCATCCGTGCTCGTTGGTGCCATATTGATCGACGAGGGAGAACATGACTGTGCAGAAGATGCCGTATGTGATGGGGAAGACAACTCGCATCGCCACGTCGAGCTGCGACAGCGCCGTGAGTCGCCACTTGGCGCGGTGAACAACGTAAAGGGCGGCACGGCGCGCGCGAGTGGCGCTCGCTGGCGGCCCTACCTCGACCTCGTCTACGCGAGCATGGCCATCCTCAGTGATCCGCGCGTGCTGCCCGCCCTCCTTTGTTGATGTCGCGGCCCTTTGCTCGGCCACGAGGCGGAGGCCCAAATTGACGGCGGCAAATTCGAGTAGTGCGAGAAAGTTGAAAATCATTGTGCCGGTGAGAAAGTCAGATATCCACACCCGCTCGCCGTCGCTGAAGCGAACAAGGGGCGGCAGTTTGCTATACACGGAGTTGAGGTTGTTGAGCACCATCAGGAAACAAAGGAACGCGAGCGCGATCCGTGCAGGCGCAGCGGCAGGCGAGATGTAGAAGCCCGAATATGAGGCGATGACCAGCAGCACCGCAACAAGGATGGTGAAGTCCGCGCCGTGCGAGCTCCGCTCGAGCGAGAAGCAGAGCGCGGCGAGAGATGGCGGCCTGTAGCCAGACAATGGTGCCGGCACTCGCACGTCGCTCCGAAGGCTCTCCAGCCTGGCGATCCACTCCCCCGACCTCAGACTCGCCTCGACGCCCGCGTTAGCTGCCGCTTCTTGCGTCAGCCAGCCGACTGTTAGTTCCTCGTAGCTGTAGCCGAGCACACCCACATCCATCTGACAGTACTGCGTGTCGAATGGCACGCGGCCGAAGGAGAAGGAGTTGCAGTGAATCAGGGCGTGCATGCGTCGAAGCCACCGAACGGTCCCGTCCGCACCGATCTCGACCGACTCGCCGTCTGCTGCCATCTTGCCGGAACCGCCGCCTAGTGAGATTGATCTTGCCTGCGGCACCGAAATTTTTGGCGACCAGATGCCGAGCACGTCCATGCTCTCGAATGTGAGGGCGTCGGCGCAGGACAGGTTCCGGGTGCTGTAGTCCAAGCGGGGGTCACTCCACACGAGGAGCAGCAGCGCGTCGAGAGCGTATGACTTGGAAACCTGGTCGATCGAGTGTAGCGCGTCCGTAACGATTTGGACCTGAATGTGATCTGCAGAGGTCGCGCTGCACTCCGTCTGAGATGGGCGCATAGTCGCGTCGTACTCGACTAGGAGTTCGGAGAGCACCGCGCTCTGGGTGAGGAATGCGGCGGCGAGGCCAGGCGAGAAGAACGAGAGGAGAAGGAGGAGCGGAGGAACGCGCATAGTGTGGGTTCGGACCCGAGAGTGCCCGAGAGCGGCGGGCGCTGGCAGGGCGTAACGGTGAAGAAAAACGACTCGAAAGAGTTATTGATAGAAAGAGTTATTGATAGAGAGAGAAGGAGAGAAAGAAATCTAAAGCAATAACGAGTCGTTCGCTTTCCACATGTGATTTTGTGTGAGCTATGTGTCTTGCTTTGCCAACAATATACCTTCGAAAGATTTTCAGTCTATGTAGCTCTTACGTACATTCCCGTAGGAGACTCTGCTGATTTTTACACCTTGCAAGGCTGACGGTTTCACAAGTTCGTCCGGACGCATCGCCGGCATACACCATGAGCGCACGCCCGGCTCCACCCGCACTCGGGGAGGTGCGCAACCTTGCGCCCAAGTCGCGGGCGGAGCGCCACGGCACTGTCCACAAGGAGGACCTCGAGAAGATGCGCCTCTCTCAGCGGAGGGAGTGCTTCTACCACTATGAGCCAAACTCGCTCACGCCGCCGCCCGACTCGCTCAGCCACATCGCAGAGTCGGATCGGTTCGAAACCAACGCGGCGGCGGCAGAGAAGGCGTCGCGCAACGCAGTCCTCATGCGTAAGGAGCAGGTCCTCCACGCGAAGCGCATCGCCCGCACACACGCGGAGGAGGAGCGATGGCGCGTGGTCGAGGCAGAGCACGAGGTTCGTCGGCTCGCACAGTAGCAGCGTGGTAGCAGCAGCGGTCGCAGCCGCAGCAGCCGCAGCAGCCGCAGCAGCCGCAACAGCCGCAACAGCCGCAACAGCCGCAACAGCCGCAACTACCAGCTGTCGCAGCAGTGGCACCAGCCGACGGTCGGGGCGGAGCACGCGCGCCGCCACCACTGACGCAGAGCCGCTGCCTAAGCTGTCTCTACAGTCATAACCGCTGCCTCGCCCGCCACCGCCGCCTCGACAGTCGCCACACGGCCACCGCCATCACCGACCCCAAAGCCCTCACCACGCGCCTCCTTAGGCGGAGCTGGCCCGGCACGAAGCGATGGCGCGCGAGGGGACGTTCTGCAAGAGCAACAAGACGTCGATGCCGTACGACCCCATCACGCTCCAGTACGGGGAGGGGAAGGACGGCCAGTGCCTCCGCTACTCCGACGAATCACTCCGGTACCGTGCGGCCATGCGCGCCGCCAACCTGCAGCAGAGAACAAACGTCGCGGGCTTCAACCCAATCACGGGGGAGGAGACGGCGCGCGTTCCCGTCCCGGAGAAACCCGTGCTACCGGAGTACTTGCAAGGAATCATCCCGGGCCACTGACGCCCACGCTGTGTAGACGCACTCCGCCCTTCTAGCCGCCCTTGTGCGTGGCGGGGAGGTCGCGGGGGGAGGGGGGAGAACGTTCAAATACTCCATAGTGGCCACGTCAGCGTAATCGAGCCTCCTGTCGACCAACTGTGCGCGAGCCAAAAATGTGGGCAGATTTGTCAAATGATTTGTAAACCGGGGCGTGCGCGCTGGCTGCAGGGGCTGGAGCCTGGCAGCCTCGGCACTGGCAGCCTGCGGGACGCGAAAAAAAAGCTCAGGCGCGAGTCGCGGACGGACTGAGTCGGGGCTCGTCAACGTCAATATCGTCATCTCCAGCGTCCAGGACCCCAGACCGCTTGCTGATGCTGGAAGTGGATCTGCTGCTGGTGCTGCGAGCCCCGCCGGCCGCCGCGAAGGGGCGCTCGCCGCTCTGCAAAAAACGGCTTTTCTCGCTACACGCGGGTGAGCGACATGATGCGGACACCACCAACCGTGTGGTCAGGCAGATATAAGGGTATGTGGGTGTGGGAAATCTCGGCCGAGATGCACCAACCAAGCACCAGTATATCTCAGGCCCGCTGCTGTCACACTCACCGCGCCGCGCGCAAGGCCAAGATGAGCGCATTCCAGAGCACGTGCCCTCCCACGCAAGGGGCGAGCCGGCCGCCGCCGGCCTGGTACACGACGGCGAGCCACCCTCCGAGCGCCGCAAAGGCGAGCAGCCCGCCCGCGCCGTCGCCGGCGTGCCAGAGCGCAAAGAGCGCCGCCGACGCGGCCGCTGACGCCGCGCGAGGCGCGCCGGCCCGCGCAGAGGCGGTGAGAAGCCAGCCTCGGAAGAAGGCCTCCTCGGTGAGGGGGGCGAGGAGGAGGACGTCGAGGCAGCGCGCCGCAGACGGGGGCGGCCCGCCCGCGGGCAGCAGCGCCTCCGCCACCTCCGCCTGCCCGAACAGCTGGCATGCGAGCGCTGGGGCGAGCGCTGCGGCAGCAAAGGCGGCGAAGACCGCCGCCGGCGCCCACGGCGCGGCGAGCCAGCGCCACTCGGGCTCCGCGGCGGGACGGAGCAGCCACGTGTCGACCGACGTCCCGGATGCGGCCTGCACGGCGGCAAAGAGCCCGAACGCAGCGGCGCGGCCCACGGGCGGCGCCAGGTCAGGAGGGAGTCCCGAACGAGCGAGGCCGACGGTAGTTGACTGGAGCAGAAAAAAGAGCGGCACGCTGGCAAGCGCTGCCTCGCGCGGCCCGAGGAGGCTGTTGGACTCAGCAGTGGCTGGTGGTGTGGCGGTCTCTGCTGCCTCGGTGGGCGCGGCAGCCTCACGGTCGCACAACCGGACGGTGGAGGCGGAGCGCGGCTCCCGGGCGTGACGGACGGCAGGGAGTCGAGACCGCGGCTGCAGAGCGGACGTTTCGAGGAGGAATAGGAGAATTGGGGTCATGCAAATCTGGTCGGATGTGTCCTGGCGAGTAGAGACACACGCACGCTCTCTCGAGGTCTCTTGGAGCAGAGCCCCGGCGAGCCCTCGAAGGAGCGGCGTGCGCGATGTGGGCGCCTGCGCGCGGCCAAAGATACACTCAATCGAGCGCGCGGACGGCGCAAAGCCCGTCTGAGTGCTCGGTTGAGCGACCAGTCAAGCATCGCAGTTTATCTCCGGCGCGCTGGAGGTGCAGCGGCCGCAAGGCATTGCGCGCAGACGCGCAGGCGTCGAAGAGAGCCAGATTTCAGCCGGCGCGTCTCTCCCGCGCGGCAGTCCGGGAAGGATCGATGGAGACTCGCAATCGGGGCGTGTTGCGCACGCTTGACAGCGGTGGCGCGCCAGCAGGTCGTGCATCTCTATCTGACGCTGCGCGTCTGGCTCGCGAGGGGCTCGCATTGAGAATTGTGTCCGGCGCGCGGCGCGCGCGTGTGGTGGAACGCTGCAGTACTTCATAGTATAAGTTCAGAGTACTATACAACACGCGCGCGCCGCACACAGCGCACGACACAGCCGGCTGGGCTCTCTGGCGCGCAGGGCTCGAGCCCGAAAGCGCGAGCAGAGAAGACGCGTTGGGGTCGATTGGGGACGCGATTTCTCTGGCCAGATCTGCCAGGAAGGAGGCTGGGCACGGGCTCTGCCGGTCGGCGGCGACAGGAAATGACAGGAACCTTGACTTTCGGCAGCCGGGGCGACGGCCAGAGAGAGCGCGCATGAGCAGCCGAGGGTCTGCTGCGGTGACGTTCCAAGCCGCGCCGCACGCGGAGAGGCACGCCCGATAGGGCTGCTGCAGGCCGGCCGCGCGTGCGCGGGCGTCGGGTGGCCTGGAGGCCGCCGCCGGAGAGGCTACATCATGCAGTCCACTCCGAGCAGCCCGCCGCAGAGGATACATCTGTCTCCTCGATGGAAAGGAGATTGAGGCGCGTGCAGTGGTTGCGATGGCAATAAGGCCATCGTCCGAGATCGTGGTTCCGTCAATACACAAACGAGGGAGTCAGCGAGTCGCCAGTCCGTCCGCACAGCGCGTTCGTTCGTTAGTTAGCGCTGACTGACTGATGTCGGTGATCATCGCGTTGTGATCGTACGCGCTCCGGGCTCGCCCTGAACCATTTAGATTGCACTGAGAGAGGGGCAATGATGTGCGATAGCGACGATGCATGTGTCATAACAATTAAAAGAAATCCGATCCCGTCATTGGGACTCTCAGCAACCGGCTCCTGCCACATTTGGCTCGCCGCCAGTCCGCCTCTGCTTCGCCCGACAATCCGCCCCTCGCTTCGCGCCTCGTGACGGCGAAACCGCCCTCGCGTTCCGATGTGGTCCGTCAAGCTGTCCGGTGCCTTCAAGCCCTACGACCCCGCGGTGAGCAGCGCAATCGAAGCAGAATGGCAGGCCTCAGCGCCGACGGCTCAAGGCAACGCGACACGGCATGGCCGAGCGTCCTTCAACATCCGTGGCGATCGCTACGAGATTGACTTCACTCGGATGGAGCAGCACAAGGTTGGTGAGCCGGTCCGGCGCCGCGCGGTGCAGCGCTCAACGCTCACTCCGGCCAACGTGCCCTCGCCTGACCCGCTTTCCGAAGCCAGCTCCTCCGCCGCGGCCACCAGCTCCCCCGCCGAGGCTACCTGCTCGCCCACCGAGGCCACGCGCTCGCCCGCCGAGGCCACCCGCTCGGTCGTCGAGGAGATTGCCGGCAGCGGCTTTGGGCTCGGCCTGATCTGCGGCCCGACGGGATCGGGCAAGACGCGGCTGCTCGACGCGCTGGTGGAGCGCGGGGTGGTCGGAGCGGCGGAGAGGAAGGAGCTTTGGCCAAAGTACCAGCCGATCGTCTCGTACCTCGCGGAGCGGCGGGGCGGTGTGCCGGCGGCTATGGACCGACTCAACACAATCGGAATCAACAGCGTGCCGACTTGGATGCTCAACTTTGGTGCTCTCTCCAACGGTCAGCAAGCACGCTGCTCGCTCGCGCTAGCCCTCGACCACCGCAAGCAGTTTGACGACTTTGGCGGGTTCGTCGAGCCGCACACGCGCCGCCTGCTCGCCGCGGGCATGGCACGCATCGTCTCCAAGTCGCAGCTGACCAACGTCGTGCTCGCCAGCGTCGACGTGGAGCTGGCGGCGTGGATGCAGCCCGACTGGCTCGTGGTGCTCGACGAGCAGGGCATGCCGCGACTGACGCGCAACGTGCCGCCGGCGACGGCCGAGCGGCGGCCCGCCGCCAGCATCAGCATCCGGTACCGCGACGACGACTATGACCGCGCCGGCGCGGCCCCAGCGGTCGATCCCGATCTCTCGCTGGCGCAGCGCCACGGAGCCTCGGCCGCCGCGTCCTTCTCGCTCGTGGCTGGCGAACGACCGTCCAGCAGCACGGAGGCGAGGCGGCCGTGAGCGCGTCGCACCACACCATGGTGTTGGTGATCGATGGATTGCGTGACTGACTGACTGACTGACTAGGTCAAGACGAGCGTGACTATCGACCTGGCGACCGTCGAGGCGTGCAGCGTCACGGGCCTGGAGACGAGCGCCGTCGACCAGCGGCGGTGGTTCCCCCGGCGCTACGTCGTGCCTCCCCAGCTGACGGACGAGCACGCACTCTGGACGGTGGCGGTGGTGCTCGGCGCGTCTGGCTCGGGCAAGTCGCTCGCACTCAAGGCTGTCAAGGGCAGCGAGAAGAGGCCGGGCAGGACCCACTGGCCAGCGCGCGAGTCGGTCGCCTCGGAGATTGCGCGCCTGCTCGGCGAGGGCGAGGGGGGTGTCGCAGACGCGATGGAGCGCTGGCTCGGGCTGCGGCAGACTGCAAGCCGACGGCCTCACGCGCAGCTCTCCGCGGGCGACTGCCTCTCTCTCTCTCTCCTCTCTCCCCCAATGCTCTCCCTCTCCCTGTCCGCCTCCCTCTTTTACACGCACAATACCTGCAGGTGAGCGCTATTTGGCAGATTGCGCGCACGCCGTGGCGGAGGCGCGGCAGGTCGCCGCGGGCGGGTGCGTCGTCATCGACGAGTTTACCTCGGTGCTCGACCGGCGGCTCGCCGCGCGCGCGTGTGCCGGGCTGAGGAAGCTCATGCACGGCTTTGGGGTCGGCCGGCTCAAACTTGTCGTCGCGACGGTGCACCAGGACATCGTTCCGTTTCTGCGGCCGGAGCTGCTCGTCCTCACCTCGCACAAGCTGGTGCACGAGCTCTCGTGGACCAGCGCTGCACCGCCGCCGGCGCCACCCGGCTGGGGGATCGGCGGCGCCTGCCCCTTCTCTCGGCCTCAGCTCCACTTTGAGCTGCGCACCGCGCCCGATCACCCCAAGGCGTCCGCGGGCGGATACGTCACGACGCTCTGGGAGGCGGTCTTTGCAGAGCACCACTACAAGGACTCGCAGCTCCAGAGTGGCGCCACCGTCGACGTGCTCCGGCTGGCGGGCAGCGGGTCGCTCGTCGGCATGGTTGCTACCATCAACCACTTTGGCTCGCTCGACAAGAGGGACACGGCGGCGCACGAGAAGAGCAAAACGAGGCGCGAGCACCGAGTCGTCGTGCTGCCGTCCTGGCAGGGACTCGGCATCGGCCCCGCTCTGAGCGACCTCTCCGGCTCCCTCTGGACCGCCACGCCGCACGGCGACGCCGCCAAGACGGACCGACCGAACTGGCGGTACCTCTCGACCACGGCGCACCCTCGCTTCGGCACATACCGCAACGGCAACGCCGCCTGGAGCCCAACCTCGACCAGCGGCGCGGGAGGCAAGTGGTCGCACGAGTATGTCGGCGCCGCGCACGTGGGGCCCCAGCGCCGCGTCCCGCTGGCGGGGAGCGACAACGGCAAGCGGGCCCGCCGCGACCCGAGCCAGACGACGTTGCGGTCCGCGCCGGGCCTCCGCGCCGCCGCCGTATCTCCCAAGACGCCGGCTCCTGCTCCGCTGCCTCCCAAGGCTCCTGGGCCAGGGGGCTCCGCCGAGTTCGCCATCTCCCTGGACTAACGCAAAAAAGGGGGCGCTGCCGCCCGCTCCCTCGCGACGGGCACTGGCCACTGCGTTTGCTCGTGAAATTCTTTTTTTCAGATTAGAATAAGAAAAACACGACCAAATACCACACCTTCTCAAAAATTAAAAAAATCGTCACGAGGGAATGAAGCGTTCGTCCAACTCTCGTGTCCAACTCTCATGCCAGAAGTCCAAATTGCGATATAAAATGATAAATCAAAGCACGCCGGGCCTCGCCGCATCTCTAAATTTGCATCTCCCTGGCTAAATTTGACCCGCGTCATTCTCCGGTGGTAGTGCCAGTGCGCGCCAAAAAAGAAAGAAAGAAAGAAAACAGACAACCCAAGGGAGGGATGGGAGGACGGCACGCCGCCACCACACAGGGATTTTAAGGAGAGGTGTGTGGTGCGCTAGCCGTCGCCTACCCTAGGGAGTCTAGTGCGCGCCAGTCCCGTGCCCCGTGTGGGGGAAAAATTCTTTTCTTGTGTTAGTACCTGTGTTTATAGTGCCAGTGCGCGCCAGTCCCGTGCCGAGGTTTCGTTTTTTTTGACCGCGCAAGACAAAGGGTGGCGCAGGGCCGCTCTGCCCGCAAGGCGCCCGCGTCGCCGACGCGGTACCATTGACTAATCCCGGGATTCACACCCACACGACCAAATAGCGAAAATCCGAATACCGTGCAAAAACCAAGGAAACAGACCTCCCATCCCTCCCTTGGGCTGTCTGTTTTCTTTCTTTCTTTTCTGGAAACAGAGCAGAAGAACGTCGGGGCAAGTTTGGCAAACGCTAAACATGGGCGATCCGGCGCTCAACCGCTCCACGCCACGCCGCTTGCGGCGGCCTCTTCCTCGCGCACGTTATTCTTGCAGAGGTCGGCTTGCTGTCGTGGTTGCCACGCCACGCCGCCCCCACCACCACTGCCACTGTGGCTCCGACTTGTCCTCGACGCCGCAGCAGCGACCCGTCCTCGGCGCAGCAGCAGGTCGATGCCTCCCTCTCCTGAGGCACTGCGAGCGTGGGTCAGCGCCAAGGTCTTCGAGCTGGAGGGCTTGGCCGACGAGGTCCTCATCGACATGGTCTGCCGCCGCGTCGCGCTCGGCGGCAGCGCCGAGGTACTCGACCCGCGGCTGCTCGAGTCCGACCTGAGCGTGCTGATGGACGTGCGTGCGGGCGAGTTTGCCAAGGCGCTTGGCGTCTTTTTTCGGCCTTCCGAGGGGCGCCGCCTCTGGCTTGACGCTTGGAGCCAAGTTTGTTTCCTCTGGCCTTCCTTGGGTAGCATTGGGCCACCAAGAACTA